ACTACTATATATATATATATATATATATATATATATATATATATATCAACTCCTCACGTATTTGACATTCGCCATAATCAGATCAACAATACGATGCGTTGAAGGGTGTCAGACCGAAGAATGAGAAGTTCACTGGGCAGTTGACAAGACTTGGGGATCAGGATCTGAGTGTGGTATGTGTAGTATTACATGCCTCATGCCTCATGCCTGCATAAATCATTAGCTGAGTTGGGCAAATACGCTGTGTTTTTTTTTTGTAATTATTTTATTTAATATGAGACGCACTAAGGCACGAATCGAGGCTTGGGGTGTGTGCGTGGTATAGTAATCAGTTCTGAACGCACACAATGTTCTTGTTTTAGTTTCGCTCTGAATTCTAAAAGAACAAAAGTATTTCTGACGTCCAACTGTCCCGGGCGTATGTGCAGGCTGATAATTGGCAACTCCTGGTCAGAACCAACCGATTCTCCGACATTCCCCAAATGACTGAGACTATCAAGATACTGCCCAAATTATGGACAAATTTAGAAATGAAGCTTGTTCACGGACACACCACCTTGAAGGCAATGGATCCCGTGGCTGCATGCCATCTTACAAATGAGGTACGTAGCAAGACGCACTAATCTAGATGTAGAGGTATATATATATATGTAAATGTAAATGTAAATGTGTGTGTGTGTGTGTGTGTTGAATTTAGTTTATGGTGTGTATCATGTGCTAAATCAGACATCTATATATTGACCGAATCGTACTGGCGTGTGTATGTTTTCATTCTTATAGATAGATTGTGTAGAATATTCGTAAATGACTTTGTCATCCTTTATGTTCTCCACTCGTATTCCCATTTTCCATTTTTAATTATTGCTCATTTGGTCTAGTTTTTGCGTTTAAAGTGTCTGTCGGTGTGGGATGGATGTCTGCGTCACATTCAGACGTTATCGTGCTCTCGACCCGTGTCACGCCTATCTTGCCAATTTGCTTCTCGCTCTCCGCCGCAAACATTCGGATTCTGATATCTCTACACATCCAGCCGAAGTTGGAAATCGGATAATTCAACCCGTATTCATTGTGCTTATTTGTACTTTATCGGCTTTAGACCGTAGAATTGGTTACTGAAGAATTCCAAATTCCAGCCGAATACGTGGCTGAGCACTGGTCGTCACAGACTAAAAACCCACACAGCGGCGCGACAAGGAAAGGCTCTGCTCGGATTGTTAGGCTGTCGCCAGGTATATGCGACTGCTATTTGCAGTTGGCCTCCCTGGGACGAGGGAGGACCGAAATTGGACCGAACTTTTAGATGCTGTTTTCTTTTTTTCGGGGGGGGGGGGGGGGGGGTTGGCTTTTCTGGAATAGACTATATGCATGCGACTTTACAGTATAGTAAATTAGCTAACACATTTCCTGGAGATATTAGATTGGGTTTGTCTGTGGGACTGTTTTACTATGCATGTACGTAGTTCTTCAGTCAAAACTTATATCACGGCTGTCTATTCTGTTACCTAGATGCCAAGAAGGCCAAGAAGCGAAAGTTGGAGAAGACGTTAAAAGCACTCGGTCTGCGGATTGGCTTCAAGCGTGGTGCCGCAGGTATGACTCACGAGAAGTGCACAAAGGTGCCAAAAATCGGCCATTTACACACTGCATTTTCCTATACATACTCTAATATGTTGACTGTATCAGGTAGTGTTGCGGATTATATGATATCAGTGGTACTGAAATTTTGGCCGTGCTATGATGAGCCTCGATCAGAACAATGTACATGTATACTTATTTGCGGTTGGTCATGCAGGCAATGATCCAGATAGCGAGCAATCCAGTAATGTGATACAGATAACCCGTATAGATGATCACTCAGATGACATCAGTAACGGTGTAGGTGATGCAAACGGTAACCATAGCAACGCGGACAAAAGCACGTATCCGGATGTAGCTACAGAAGTGGCAGGTCCAGTCACCAGCAAGCGGAAAGTAAGCGACGACCCAAGCACAGACGAGAATAGCCATACGAAGAAGTCCAAAATCGAAGTGGCCGAGGACAGGGCAGGCGGTGCGGGTCAGTCTGAGGACAATATATCTGATCAAAAGGCCGGACTTTCGCCTCATGAGACAGACCAGGACGATGGTTCGCGATCGCCAATACCACGCCTCGGGCCAACTGAAAGCACTGAGTGGGATATGGACTCGGACGATGATTTGGATGGTGAGTTTGGGTTATGGTACATTTGTCCTACAATGACAGATTTGTTCATATACATTCATAGTGCACGAGTGGATGGATACGTAGAAGTATGCGGGTGTAAACATGCTTGTACATTCTCATATCAAGGAATGCTCTGGCATGAATATTATTATAGAAATACAGATCTTCGGGGGGTGTTCAAAATCTACATTCGTATATGTTTTTCTTGTGGAATGTGTACAAACACACAGCGGTTGGATACGCATATGTTTCAGCTGAAATTTTCCGCAAAATGCTTGTACATCGTCGAATTCGGTATATCCCATATATATAT